GCTTACACTATAGATCGCGATCGGTTAGCAGGCGAGGCCGAGATCAATATGCCAGACGCTCCAGTGATCGACGGGACGACAGCCGCCGGAGAAACAGCAATGCCAGGGGTGGGTCACGATCCCGATCGCCCACCAGATCCCGGTCACCCAGTCATGAGGAAGTTGACAATGGGGTCGACTCGCGTAAAGACAGCCGCCGCAGTGACCGCCGCGATGGCCGTGCTTCGTCCCGCAGTCCACCTCCCAGACGCCGTGGGTCCGCATCGCGCTCTCGGTCGGGTTCTTATTAAATCATATTCATGTACAGCTATTGTTATTCAATATATTACCTTATGTTACCATTTATTAAATAGGTCCTGTGCCATGCGTCGATGGGTGTCTTACTAATGTTTCAGTTCCTTCCAGTGGCGTGACTGTACAGTTGATTTTACTTTTCGATGTTTTCGTTCAATTTACGACCGGTTTGACATGCAGTTGGTTTTGCTAGATGCTACACTAGTATTGTGTTAATTCTACGTAGGTCGTATTGGACCATGTCCGCAGACGGGTTCATTCGGATCAGTGATGTAGTGCTTCATTCATCATTGGAAGATTAGGGTGATGGCTTGTTTCATATTGGGTGGCAATGGCCTACCGGGAAATGCCGCAATGTCTTACGATCAACTGTTTTCTGATGATTGCTGTATATACATGCAGGTTCTGCACTCTAAGATAGAGTAAATCTCGAAACAAAATTAAAAAACAAAATAAAAACGAAAACGTACAAAAACAGAAATCGTTTTTGAAAACTATGCCTCATAAACGTCCTATTCAGATGCGCATATTTGTGCACTGCAAGCAGATACTGCACCTCTCCCCTTCTTTCCTTCAGGATCTTCCTTGCAATTACCGCTTCAACGTGAATCCCCATCTCAATCCCCATCTCACTAGCGGGCTGTATTATCAAATTTCCGGTCAGGGGGCATTACCGATCAATCGAAAACCGAAACGTTTCCAAGATCCCGGAACGTTGAGCTTACGCACGAACCCGTGAAACACCTCAAAACTGCATGTTTCAGTTCAGTTGCAGGTATGCCTGGAGTTGAAGCATAAACGACAGAGTTTGATCGAACCGGACGCGGACAACAGATATTTCCGAAAAGAAATAGGAAAAGGATGAAAACCCTAGATAAAATGCTCCTCTGCTGGTTATCTGGACATTGAGCATCGGGCGTTTGTTTGAATTGGTCGGAGTTATTGTGGCTCCTACTTCCTGGTTGTCGCGCGCTTCTTTTGTGCACCCGTCTAAATGCCCCGAAGAGCGACTTCTCTCTACATCAGGCACCTTCCAGATGCTTGCAGGTAAAACTGTTGCAGTTTTATTAAGCCCCACTTAGACACGAAGATTTACGCCGAGCTTTCGGGAGGTATGGGCACATTTTGGATATCACCATTCCTTTGGATTACTTCACCGGTCGGATGAAAGGCTACGCCTTCATAGAATATCCTTTTTGCAGTGTTTTCCAGTTTTTGCTTCAAAAAATTCTAATTTGTTCCCGTTGTGTTTGCCTCCTAGGCGATGCCGGCAACTGCACTTTACCCAAATCAATTCAATTGTTCAATGATGTAAACCCAGCATCTGTACAGTCAAATCAACCTGAGTGGCGCTGAGGCGGCTCCAAAGGCGCTTTCTCGCCAACGCTTACGGGTCCTCTGGGATGACGTGTGTCAATTCAGTCTGATCAAACGCAACTCTACTCATAAGCCAAATGCCTAGTGTCAATACTCAAATGCAGCAGGATCCAACACAAACCCAACATGCAATCATGCAATCAGTCAGTTGCAGATAGTTCAGTTTTGGTCATTGTCTGCTCAAACAGCACAATTCCGAGGGTCTATATGTCTAAACTTCCTGGTTCAAGGCTGCAGTCTAACCAACTCCAGTGCCTACCCGCTCAATTTCAATGTCAATTCAGTTCAATTTAGGCCTTATCATTCGGTGAGTTTTTCTTAGGTTAGCGTGCTTTCCTTGACTATCTGTATCACGTTCGAAGACCCGCGGGACGCAGAAGATGCCCACTACAATATGGATCATGCGCGGTTTATGGGTCGTGATATCGAGGTGGAATTCACTAGAGGTTATCGCAAAAGTAAGAACGAATGTTCTCTTTTTCGTTTACGTAATATAATTTCAGTCTAATACAGTATACTTTGTCCTATATCCTTCAAACTGCTCTTAGATGCTGACATGCGACGTGCTTAGTTTGCTTTCTGCGCTTCACGGTATTATCAATGTTGGTAGCAGTGATGTAGATCCAATCTGTCGGTGGTGGACGCGCACATTAGCTTTCGTAACCCTGAACTGATGTTTGCCACTTTTCATATTGGATGAGCTTCATGGCGGTCATCAATTCCGCAATGTTGAATTTAGTTGTTTTTATTCCATAATGCTCAGCTTATGCCAACCGACTTCGCTTATCTGAATCTTTTTGAAATTCTTTATAGCGCCGGCGGAAATGCGCCTAAAAGAACGGCGCGAGGATGGTCGCAGCAGCGGTCCTGGTCGTCGTCGTCGTTCGCGGTCTCGCTCACATACAAGGTATGATAGTTTAAGTCTTCAATTGCTTACACTATAGATCGCGATCGGTTAGCAGGCGAGGCCGAGATCAATATGCCAGACGCTCCAGTGATCGACGGGACGACAGCCGCCGGAGAAACAGCAATGCCAGGGGTGGGTCACGATCCCGATCGCCCACCAGATCCCGGTCACCCAGTCATGAGGAAGTTGACAATGGGGTCGACTCGCGTAAAGACAGCCGCCGCAGTGACCGCCGCGATGGCCGTGCTTCGTCCCGCAGTCCACCTCCCAGACGCCGTGGGTCCGCATCGCGCTCTCGGTCGGGTTCTTATTAAATCATATTCATGTACAGCTATTGTTATTCAATATATTACCTTATGTTACCATTTATTAAATAGGTCCTGTGCCATGCGTCGATGGGTGTCTTACTAATGTTTCAGTTCCTTCCAGTGGCGTGACTGTACAGTTGATTTTACTTTTCGATGTTTTCGTTCAATTTACGACCGGTTTGACATGCAGTTGGTTTTGCTAGATGCTACACTAGTATTGTGTTAATTCTACGTAGGTCGTATTGGACCATGTCCGCAGACGGGTTCATTCGGATCAGTGATGTAGTGCTTCATTCATCATTGGAAGATTAGG